CAGAGATCTTCCCGTAGTCATCCCAGTCACCATTATATGATTAATATGCCAAATTAATAATATAATCATACTGTGAGGGTGGGAAGGCCCTGGCACAGGTTGCCCAGAGAAGCTGTGGCTGCCCCTGGATCCCTGGAAGTGTTTCAGGCCAGGTTGGGCAGGGCTTGGAGCAACCTGGGCTAGTGGAAGGTGTCCCTGCCCCTTGCAGGGGGTAGAACGAGATGAGCTCTCAAGTCCTTTCCAACCCAAACCAGTCCAGGATTCTATCACAGCATCCTGTGCTCTCCCAAAAGCTTCTCCTTTTTAACTTCAGGATGCTACAAAAAGGCCTGTGAAGCACCATCTCCCAGCAAACAAACTGCTTTGTTCCCAGGAGAAAGACCCAGCATATGACCCTTGGGGATGGTCCTGTGCAGGACTAAGGGCTGCACTCAGTGATCCTTGTGGGTCCCTTCCAACTCAGCGTATCCTGTGATTCTGTGACACATTTCTTGGAGAGGGGATCGCCAAAAACAAGATCCCAGAAACCTCAAAACCTCCTGGGTGGGGCTCACCTTGTACAACCTGTAGTAGTGCACGGGCACGTCGTCGAGCCGGACGGCCTCCTTGATGTACTTGAGATGGGCTTCAGAGGCCGTCAGGGCAAACTGGTCTTTGTGCATGTTGGGGACGTGCTTCAGGATGTAGTCCTTGCCCCTCTTTGCAACCACCTGTTTGGAGGAGAGGAGAAGTTTGTCCAGCTGCTCCCTGCTCGCTCAGGGCCCGATTCCGCCCCAGTGCTCCTGGGCAGCGGTGATTTCAGGGGAAAAGGGGAAATGGGAGCAATATGATTTGTTATAGAGACCTGCAGGAAAAAACAAAATAGATACAGCGGCCAACAGCTTCTCACCAGCAGGATTTCCCACTGGGAAGTGCATGTGTGCTCCCTGTGCCCAGCCCACGGAGCTCACACCACTGGTGACACCTGTGCTGGGCCAGGAGAGCCATGCTCAGACTCCCTGTGTGAATGGGGACACGGACCCAGGGCCATCACTCCTCAGTGACATGTGTGAGAAAAAGAGAAGCCAGCAAATTTTGGAAAAAAAAACAAGAAGGAGGTTGGAAAGGAGAAAAGAAGACTCCAGAGAGGCTTTTGAGCACCTAAAGGGGCTCCGACAGAGCTGGAGAGGGACTTGGGACAAGGGCCTGGAGGGACAGGACAAGAGGGAATGGCTTCCCACTGCCAGAGGGCAGGGTTAGATGGGATATTGGGAGGGAATTCTTGGCTGTGAAGGAGGTGAGGCCCTGGCACAGGATGCCCAGACAAGCTGTGGCTGCCTCTGGATCCCTGAAAGTGCTCCAGGTCAGGTTGGATGGGGCTTGGAGCAACCTGGGGTAGTGGAAGGTGTCCCTGCCTATGGCAGGGGGTGAAATAAGGTGGTCTTGAAGGTCCTTTCCAACCCAAACCATTCTGTGATTCTATGGTTCTGCGAAACCAGTTCCCAAAGGACTGCAAGGCTGGAGGGGCTACACCTGATGGTGGTGGGGCGATGCCGTGCTGGCACATGGCACACAGGGAATCTCTGCCACACAGGGAATGCCCTGTGAGCATCCCAGCAGCACACAGGGCAATCCCCCCCAGTGCAGGAGCTGCTCCAGCCCCACACCAACCCCGGCCCTCCCTTCCCACAGCTATTTCCAGCCCTGCAGTTGTCCCAGGTTATTAATAACCCGGATTAAGCCAGAGACAGGGATGCAGCCGGAACGGCGGCCGCCTGGGAACCCTCTGAGCCGCTTCCCGGGGGCTCCCTCAAGCTCAGAGCAGGGACCACACCACGGAACACTCACCCAGGCGGGGAAATAGGCTTCGGGCTCAAAGTACTTCCCGTAGTGCTTGTTGCGCTTGAAGTCTCCCAGGTCGGCTTGGAGGGCGAAGGCAGTGAGGAGGAAATAGGCCTCTTCCCGCAGGACACACTGGGAATGCAGCACCTGCTTCCGCAGGTGCCAGTAGTAGTAGTAACGTGCAGTCCGGTCACTGCGGGGGCAGAGGAGAGAGGGAGGAGGGAGGAGCAGAGGGGAGAGAAGCCAGTTTCATCACTGTCACATGGACTGTGCCTGCTCCCCCAAAAATGTCACCTTTGGGCACCTGTAGGTTTCAATCTCTCAGAGTCGTCTCCCCCGGGTTAGGGGGTACAGCAGGATTAGGGGATGTAGCGGGGTTAGGAGGTACAGCAGGATTAGGGGATGTAGCAGGGTTAGGGGGTACAGCAGGGTTAGGAGGTGCTGCAGGCTTAGAGGGTACAGGAGGGTTAGGGGGTATAGCAGGGTTAGGGGGCACTGCAGGATTAGGAGGTGTAGCAGGGTTAGGGGGTACAGCAGGGTTAAGAGGTGCTGCAGGCTTAGCAGGTACAGCAGAGTTAGGGGGTATAGCAGGGTTAGGGGGTACAGCAGGGTTAGGGGGTACTGCAGGATTAGGAGGTGCAGTACGGTTAGGAGATACAGCAGGATTAGGGGCTACAGTAGGGCTAGGGGGTGCAGCAGGGTTAGGAGGTGCTGCAGGGTTAGAGGGTACAGGAGGGTGAGGAGGTGCAGCTGGATTAGGGGGTACAACAGGATTAGGGAGTACAGCAGGGTTAGGGGGTACAGCAGGGCTAGGAGGTACAGCTGGATTAGTGGGCACATCAGGATTATGGGGTACAGCAGGGTTAGGGTATACAGCAGGATTAGGGGATACAGCAGAGTTAGGGAGTACAGCAGGGTTAGTGAGTACAGCAGGGCTAGGAGATAGAGGAGGATTAGGTGGTGCTGCAGGGTTGGGGGTACAGCAGGATTAAGAGGTACAGCAGGGTTGGGAATACAGCAGGATTAGGGGGTACAGCAGAGTTAGGGGGTACAGCAGGGTTAGGGGGTGCAGCAGGATTAGGGATACAGCACATCAGGGGTAGGAGGTGCTGCAGGGTTAGGGGATACAGCAGGATTAGGGGGTACAGCAGGATTAGGGGGTACAGCAGGGGTAGGAGGTGCAGCAGAGTTAGGGGGTACAGTTGGGTAGCCCACAGCTGAGACCACAGGGTGGGAGACCACTCCAGCACCTTCTTCCCACTGGGAATCTCTTAGGAAGTGAGCAGGGCTGACTGCTGAGTCGTTTGCTCACTTTTCCCATTCAGCAGTGTAAATCTGCACTGCAGCCAGCTGGAATATCCCTCCCAAAAGTATCCCCACGGGGATGCAGATGCCACTGTGTCCCCAAAACCCTGAAAATCACTTTGCCCCTCAAACAGGACCTGAAGCTCCCACCCGGCCACAGGCACGAAGGTGAGTTAAAATCAGGGTTAAACTCCAGTAAATCCCTAAACATGATGTCCCCAGCTCCCCTGAAAGGCTTTGCATGGCTGGCTGGGAGCAGTGTCCCCATGTCCCCACCTGCCCCTGTGTGGCAGGAGAAGCCACTCAGCACCCACGCACAAACAGCTTCAGCTTTTGGGATGCCAGCAGAATTCCACAGCATCCCGAGGCTGCACACCCACCCCAGCAGGTGCCCGGGTGAGCAGGGACAGGGGAGTGCACCCTACCTGATCAGCCTCCCGTTCTCCACATAGTACTGCACTCGGAAGTGGATGATCATCGGGGGGCCAAACTGGTCGATCCCCTGGAATGGAGGAGATTTTCAGGGTTCCTGTGGAAACCCCGGCATTGTGCCCCAGTCCCTCACCTCAGCTCTCTGGGGGGTCATGTCCTTCATGGCCAACCCCTGCCCCACATGGGTGGGTTCACTCTGGTGGCATCTTTTTCCTCAATTAAGATTCTGACACCCATTTTTCCCCCCCAGTCCGCTGGAACTCAAAGGGGATTTGGGTTTAAAGAAGCAGGTGGCTGGGTTTCAGACCCCCAGGGGGTCTGCATCCCCCCACCACTGCTGCTATCCCTCTCCCAGTCCATTATCCACTGGTCCCCATCTCAGTGCCAGCGCTGGAGCCTTGACACCGACCCCTTGGCATGTGGCACTGAAATAATGAAAAGGTGCTTTGGGGAGAGAGAAAAAAAACAAAAACAAATCGATTTTAGAAATCGGAAGGAGGGTCCTTAAAAATTCTGCTGAAGGAAGGAAGGCAAAAAATGGCACTTGGAGTGCCAACCATCAACCACCACCCTGTTTTCATTCATTTTGCACATCCACCCCCCCATCTCCCACACTGGCTAAGTGCCCCCCCCACACACCCCTCGGCTGCATTCCCGGGTCCTGGAAGTGACCTGCGACGGGGACAGAGGTGGCCTTACTGCCGTCAGCTCTCCATGCAAGACCTCACCGCTGACCTTGCTGGCCTCCTTCTTCCACTCCTTGGGGCAGTACTTGTAGAGTTTCTGGGCCATGTCCATGTACACGTGCTCATTGTCTGCGTGGGACAGAGGTGGCATCAGCATCCCCACGTGTGTCCTGCATCCCGCCAAGCCCTGCCCCGACCCCACCCTCCTCATCACCTAACGAGGCCACCAAAAGGCTTAATTTGGATGCACCCCCAACCTGGTGGCGTCACTTCTTGCTGAGCAACGATGGCATCAGGCTGGACCACCAAACCCACGGCACGAGCCCCTGACTTACTCTGGATGACGCTGAGCCCGAAGAGGTGACAGTCCTTCAGCCTCAGGAGGTCACACACCTGCACCAGTAACTCGTGGCACAAAATCTTCACCTGCAGAAAGAAACACCCCGTGAGTGGTCCTGGCTGCACCTGTGCCCACCTGAGCCAGGCAGGCACCACTGAACCCCTCACCAGAATCCCGAGAAGGATGGAGGGGTGACAGGCTGGGCTGTGGGGTTCAGTTTTCCATGGGGTCATTATGGAAGTCTGCAAAAGCCTGGGGTGCTTCGAGCAGAGCAGAGCTCTGCCAGGGACCATGGGGCAGCTTGAGAGCAGTGGGTGGTGGAGGAGCCCTGCACTGGGGAGATGGTTTTGGGGGCAGAAAACAGAACATTCATAGAATCATAGAATCCCAGAATGGTTTGGGTTGGAAGGGACCTTAAAGATCATCCAGTCCCACCCCCTCTCACGGGCAGGGACACCTTCCACTAGCCCAGGTTGCTCCAAGCCCTGTCCAACCTGGCCTGGAACACTTCCAGGGATCCAGGGGCAGCCACAGCTTCTCTGGGCAACCTGTGCCAGGGCCTCACCACCCTCACAGCCAAGAATTTCTTCCTCTCACCTAATCTAAATCCCTCCTCTTTTAGTTTAAAACCATTCCCCCTTATCCTAACACGACCTGACCGTGTACAAAGTCGCTCTCCATCTTTTTTATGAGCTCCCTTTAAGTCCTGAAAGCAATTTCAAAATTTTCCTGCATCAAAAGAAACACCGGGCGGTGGTGAATTAAAAAAAAAAAATAAATTAAAAGTGGGGGGAAATTCGCATTCCAAGCTGCATCCAAACCAGAGCCAAACCCCCTCCTGTTTATTCCCTGGGAGGCTGAACTGCCATCCAGGGTGGGTTGTGGAGCGAGGGCTTGAGGGAGGGGGCTTGTGCCACCCCGTGGGATGCCAAGCAGCAGGTCACCCGCCGACAAACACGCTGCTGCCAGCGGAACATCGAGTCAAGAAGAGGCAGGAGAGCGTAAAACGCTGCCGCAGCCTTAGGGGGAATAACTCCTGTGCATTTCTCCGGCAGGGCGAGAGCAGGCAGGCTCGGGATCGAATCCATCGGCAAAACCAAAGTGTGCAAATGGTTGCAAGCCCCCGGGTGCCATGAAAATGTCAGTGCTCAGGGGGTCCCCCAGGCCCACACCCCACCCCGCCATCCCCCGCGCCGCCTTACGTTGATGATGATGTTGAGGGAGTCGTCGTTGGGGAGGAAGATGCAAACGCTGCGTCGGTCCTGCATGACTCTGTTGTTGTGGAAGGTCAGTTTGCTCATCGTGCTCGGGGCTCGGGGCTCGGGGGGGCTGGTGGGGGGCACCTCACCGGCGGGCCGGGGCGGCCTCGGTCCCCGCGGGCGCCATCCCTGCGGGACAGAGCGGGGGCTGAGCCCTGTGCGTGGCACCCCCAGCTCCACACACCCCTTCCCACCCATCAGCACATCCTCTCCCTCGCCCCAGAAGAAGGGTGTCCCCCAAAACCCCTGAGCACACCCCAGCACAGCCACCTCCCCCCACCCCAAGCCCGGCGCCGCGGTCAGGGCAGGATTGCGGCCCAGCCCGAAAAAAACTGAGCCAGCAGTTCTGTTCCCCAGGCTCGGGTTCAGAAAAACCTCAGGAAAGGTTTTCCTGGCATATTTAAAGCAAATAAAAGTTTATCTGCTGGGAACAACCCAGCTGTGCCAGCACGGAGCGGTGTGGGACGTGGGAGCTTTCCCTGCCAGCTGCAGAAAGGCAAGGAGATGGTCCCATAACAGGACCCCCACATCCCTTCCAGTTCCAACTCTTTACTGGGGTTAAATAAAACCATCCAAGCACTAACAGCGATTTGCAGACGGGAATTGCCATTCAGAGCTGCTGAATCCATCCTGACACTGACCCCATGCAACCCTCATTCCCAAGGGTGAATATTCCTTAAGCACCTTTTACCCCACAACCAACCACCCACGGGAACACAAATTCCCACGTGACACCACGAGGAAGGACCTTTAAACTCTGAACTAGTTCAGCCTTTTCCTAACCCCCAGATTTACGCTGGCACCAGGACAGCAGAGTGTCTCCCTTTGTCACCAAATATTTGCTTTGGTCTAGATGGAAATGCCTTTGGCTTCCGAAAGCCTGGAACTTGCATGTTTGTGCAGCAGGGAAAAAGTGCCCCGAGGTGCCTTTTTTTTTGGTGGTGGTGGTTCCTGGGGTTTTGCAGAAGTTGGGAAACCCGGAGGTGATGCTCTATCTCACCGCCACGGCACTTTGGGTCTGCACCACCGAGGCCTCGTCCAGCACTGTGTCCGTGTATTATGGATTCTGTGCACTGCATCCCTGTATCCCAAACATGCATCTCATTCCATGCACCGCATCCATGCATTGTGGTGGTGCGTCGTGGCATCCATGCATTGCACCCATGCACTGTGGTCGTGAATTGCATCTACATTTTGGCACCTGTGCATTGTGGTGGTGCATCATGGCATCCGTGCATTGCATCCACATACCACAGACGGTGGTATCACGGCCACGCGCTGCATCCATGCATTGTAGCATCCATGCATTGTAGCATCCATGAATTATGGCCATGCGTCGTGGCATCCATGCACTGCATCCGTGTGTCACAGTTGTGCATCACGGCCGTGGCATGGCACCTATGGACTGCATCCATGCATGGTGACGTGCAGCGTGAATGTGCATTGCCTCCAAACATCATGGCCACATGCGCTGCATCTGTGCATCTTGGCTGTGAACCCCGGGTGTGTATTGCATCCATGCATAATGGGATCCATGAGTTGTATCCATCTGTGCATCATGGCCATGCACTTCACCTACACGTTGCATCCATGCGCTGCATCCACGCATCGTGGTGCTGCATCACGGATTCTACGCGCCGCACCCGTGCGTTGCATGCGTGTTTTGTGGCATCCATGCATTGCATCTGTGCGTCACAGATGTGCATCGTGGCCATGCATTGCATCCCTGCATCGTGATGATGTGCTGTGGCCCTGCATCAGGGCTGTGCACTGCAGCCACGCATTGCACCTGTGCGTTGCATCTGCATGTCGTGGCCTTGCATTGCATCCCTGCATTGCAGCGGTGCAGCGTGGCACCTATGAATTGTATCTGCGCATTCTGACATCTATGTGCTGCATCCGAGCACCGTGGCTGTGAATTGTGGCCATGCACTGCATCCAGGCGTCGTGGCAGTGTGTTGTGGCCGTGAATTGCATCCACGCATCGTGGTGGTGCATCCCGACATCCACGCGTTGCATCCACGCACCACAGCTGTGTATCGTGGCCGTGCACGTCCCCTATCCATAGTATCCATGCCTTGTGGCCATGCATTGAGGCTGTGCCTTGCCCCTGTACGTCGTGGCCACGTGTTGCATCTGTGCTCGTGTTTGTGCACCGTGGCTGAGCATCCCGGCCGTGCCCAGACACGACTGATCCCGACCGGAGCAAACAGCACCCGGCTTGCTTTCAAGGTTCATTAAAAGCCCCAGGAGTGAACGAAACGGGGCTGAAGGTATTTGGCAAACATCCTCTCCCGGCCCTGTGCCCGGCAGCTCCTGTGCCCCAACGCGGGGCCGGGCGTGACGTGACTTGCACGAGTTGTGAGGGGAGGAGCCACATCCCTGGCAAAGCAGCTGCATCCCAGGGCACCCTCCGGCACCCTCTGTGCCCTGCTCCCATCCAAAGATATCCTGCAGCCCCAATGGATTCATGAGAGCATCTTCCCATGGCAGCTCTGTGGGCTACAGCCGGCTCAGAACTACAGCCACTCCTGAGTTACTGGTGAATCCATCACTGGGATTCTCTGCCAGGCATCGGCCCCCACCCAGAGCTTCCCCATGGCACCACGGTGCTCTTAGAATCATGGAATGGTTTGGGTTGGACGGGATCTTAAAGACCATCCAGTTCCAACCCCATGCCATGGGCAGGGACACCTTCCACTAGACCAGGTTGCTCCAAGCCCCATCCAACCCAACCTGGAACACTTCCAGGGATCCAGGGGCAGCCACAGCTTCTCTGGGCAACCTGTGCCAGGGCCTCCCCACCCTCACAGCCAGGAATTTCTTCCCAATATCCCATCTAACCCTGCCCTCTGGCAGTGGGAAGCCATTCCCCCTTGTCCTGTCACTCTCTGGCATCCCAGGGCTGTTCATCCCCAGTCACTGTATTTTCCCCTCCTCCTGCAGCCTGGATTGTTCCCAGAGCATCAGGGATGAAACCCCACAAGCTGCCGACAGCAGAACACAGATATGGGAGGAAAAAAACCCAAACCATACATTTCGGTATTTCTTTAGAAAACACCCCAGTTCCTGCTGCTGAATGAGAACATTCCATCAGCTGACCACACAGGGATGGTCCCTGTGGAGAACCCCCTCAGTTCCAGGAGCTTCCCCGGGGGCTCTGCCAGCACTTGGAGCTGCACAGATTTAGCAAGAGGGCACACAAAGCCCTTTCCAGGGTGCTGTGCCTCCAGCAGCCTCGGCCAGACGCTGGCAAATTCTTTCCAAGCATCTGTTGCTCATTCCGACAATGTCAGCTTTGATTCCCTGGGACCCCGCGCCGCTGCCCTTGGAGTCGTTCCTGCTCCGGCGGAAGCGTCGATATGAGGAACAAACAGAGAACCATGGAATGGTTTGGCTTGGAAGAGACCTTTAAAGATCCAGTCCAACCTTCCTGGCTCCAAGCTGGAAAGATCCTGGATTGCAGGGAGAGTCCCCCTGGATTGCCACGCAGCGGAGGGGGTGACACAGGTCATCCCACAATCCAAGTGGGAACCTCCACCCCAGGCAGCTTTCCAAAGGGTTTTCCATCCAGAGAGCAAAGCCAGCTGAAAAAACACTTGGGAATGAGGACTTGGGCATGGATCAGCCTCTGCAGTTCCAGGAGATTCGGCTCTTCCAGCCACGTTTTCCATGCTATAGGGAAAAGACCACTAAAACTCCACAGGAACACACTGAAAATCCCTTGTAACTCCAGAGAAAATTCCTCGATCCGCCGTGTTTTCCAGCCCAGGCTGCTGGAATACTGTCTCCCTCCCTCGTACTGATGCCATGGGATAAATCCTGCCACAAAGCTCTGCTGTAAAGAAAACATCACGCCATGAACCTGCTTGGAAAAGCAGCCGGGGCCGGCGCTGCTGACTCGGCGAGGGATTTATTCATCCCGGGATCCTGCAAACACTGAGGGCAGGGAGAGGCTGGGCTTGGTTCAGATGGAGGTGCTGGAGCAGCGTGACAGGCTCTCATTGGAAATACAAATTTGGATGCAATTCCAGGCCGGGGGTTTAACGTCGCTTGAACTTGCCGGCTGAGGTGGGGTTTTGCTCCGAGCGCGCAGATTCCGTGGATGAGAAGAGAGGCTTGATGCATGGGCAGCATTTTTTTCCCACTCCATACATTCAAAAGAAGCAGACAGGTCTCTATCCTGATGGGTTTGGGTCAGGTTTGTACCCCTGTGGCACCCACCGGACATCACAGTGCCCCCCCGCTCAACCCAGCCATGATCTGCAGCCTCCAGGCAGATCCAGCCCATTTCCCATCACGCAAATTCACCCCCTCCTTGCCAAAATATCCATTTTTTTTTTTAAAAATTTGCCCCTGACAGCTGCCCTGTCAGATATCTCCATCCCTGGAGGGATTTAAAAGCCATGTGGGGACGTGGCACTTGGGAACATGGATTAGTGGTGGGCTTGGCAGTGCTGGGGGAATGGCTGGACGCGATCTTAGAGGCCTTTCCCAACCTAAACCGCTCCACAATTCCATGATTCCAACCCACCCCCGGGCTTTTGTTCCAGCCCTCCCGAACCACAACAGGGGCGAGGGAAGGGATCCAGCACAGGACCCACACGTAGGCACGGGCCATCCCGCAGCCAGAGGCTGCCCAGAGCGCAGAGGGAGATGGGAAGGTGAATTCACGGGGCAGGAATTTCTGGTTTTTAAGCGTTTGGAGTGGGTCTCACCCCACATCATAGGGCTCAGGTATGTGCAGAGCTGTTATTACAAGTTTCAAGGCCGTCACTTAATGCAGCTTCTCCAAACCCAAAAGCCAGATTAATTCCTGCTTGCGGTTGCCCCGTAATTAAAATCGTCTCCAATTCTTCATGAACTCAACAGTTTCCTCCTAATGAAGGGAGGCAGATGAAAGAGACCTTCACTGGGAAAAAGGACTCGGTTATAAATATTCCATTACTTCATCCGCCACAAAAGCTATTTGGATGCTGGAAACTCAGCCTGGGCAGCCGGGGGCCAGCCCCCACCAGCCCCAGCAGATACCCCTGAGTGCTGGGGGTATCCAAAAAGCCTCTCCAGGGAAGGTTCCCCCAGGAGCTCGCCTGTCTCCACCTCTGCAACACTCCTCCTCTTCCTCCTCTTCCTCCTCCTCCTCCTCTCCTTTGCCTGTTGCAACAGGACAACAGCAACGGGCAGAGCGGGTGCTTGGGACACCCGGGGATGGCTGAGCCATGTGCATCATCCCAAAAATGGGATAATGGCCCCTCTGCCCTGTCCTGCTGGGGACAAGCCCCATGGGACATCACATTCCGTAGGAAAACACAGGCCAAGCCACGGCAGCTCAGGAAACTGCTCCCCTGCTCATTCTTCTGTTGTGCACGGAGCCGAATCCAGCCTGGAAGTGCAGATTTTCCATTCAACCCGAGGAAGAGCCATCCCAGGCCTCTTCATTGCCTTACTTTGGAGCACTATAATATAAATAAAGCGTCCCAGCCTCCGCCAAGGATGGACACGGAGATGGATTTCTCCTGGCAAAGGCTCCAGCGAGGGAGGGACGGCGCCTGCTTTTCCTCTTCCCTCTCCTGCTATAGAACCAGCCCCTTCCATCGTATTTCCTTCCGGAAAACTTTGCCTGAGCCGTTGGGATTAGAACAATATCAAGACTGGGTTGGAGAGGGTCGTGCTCAGGACAGCCCAGCTCTCCCAGCCGACTCCAGCTCCTGTCCCCCAGCATTCCCAGGAGCTTTATGAACCATCCCCCAGTGTCAACAAGCCCAAACCTCCCAGAGTCCGATCCCTCTCTCAGGACCACAGGCATCACACTGAAGGATGCACATGGATGTGAAGAATTGCCTTTGCTCCCCTCTCCGTGGGCAGGCTGCAGCCCACACCAGCAGCAGCTGCCATAAATCCCTTGGGATTTGGCTGCGGGATCCCTGGACCACAAAGCAGCCCTAAGGGCCAGAGTCACCATCCCGAATCCCTGCGCCACAGAAAGCACAGCCCTGATTCTCCAAACCATGGACCTCCCCATTTAGGAATTAGAACGATATTTTAAGTATAATTAACGATATAATTGAATTAATAGTGTTGTGTGGTTATTAATATTCATAATATGCAATTACGAATATTCATGTTATTTTATATAATAACACACCCCCAAGACGCTCTGACCCCGGGCAAACCCTTCCCAGGATCCTGCTCCCAGGCACACTCCTCAACATGGGATCAGAGCCCAAACCCATTCCCACTCTGGGGAACGTGCGCTGCTCGGTGCGCAGGGAGAGTAAAAATAGAGGGAGGATGTGAAGTGCTCTGCAGACAGTCCAGAGCCCAAAAACCAGCTCCATTTTATGCCAAAACACACAAACCCAAGCCTGGACTATCCGGAGCCCCCACTGCCCTCCGTGGCGTCCTTGCCTCCCGCTCCAAATCCAGCAAAACAAAGCCAAACCAAGTTCCTTATTTTTTTAATCCTGGAGCAGGCAGAGGGGGATTTATCTTCCCCCAGCAGCACCGCTCTCCAGTTTTCCAGCTGGGAAAGCTCCTCAGCCACTCCACAGCCTCCATCAACTTCCCTGCCCCAGCAGCAATGGGGAAAATCTCTTCGGGAAAAATAACCTCAGCCCACTTTTCAGTCAAGGAGGAAAAAAAAAAGCAGCCTAAAACTCAATTAAGGAGCAGGCAGATATTTTAACCAGCGCCATGGTTTGTATACTCCATCTGGAGTCCAAAGGCTGCCGGGTTTTTTTTTTAGCAGGAGGGAACTGACATCATCTTAATTTCAAATTCCCATTTATTTTTACATCTGGTCTGAATTAATCTTTCTCAGCGTCCTGACTTTCATGTAATGGAATAATTGCTTACAGACTCGGGGTTTAAAGAGCCTGAATAAACCCAGTTTAAAAAAAGAAACTCCCTTAAAAAACGATAGTAAAAATCCAGTACCTACAACCAAACCCCAACACGCCTTCGGGACTGGGAATTTTAAACGGAACATCGCCTTCAAGCAAGAGAGCTCAAATTAATCCCAGCTCTATCCAAGAATCAGAGAGGGTGAGCGAGCCCTGTGGAAAAACACCAACACAAACCAGCCCGGAATTAGGGAGAGCAGCAAAGCTCCATCAGTGCCATGCTGAGGCACCTCTGGAAAATTATCTCTGGAAAAGCAGAGTTTGGCTTAGGGGAAAAAACATCCTCATGGCCAGAAAAGCATTGGACATGGGCAGAAAAGGGGGGATTCAGGAATGGGAGATGACAGTGAAGGTGGCGGGGAGGTGGGGGGCATGGAGGGGCCAGGACGTGCCTGACTCCCACATGTGAGTCAAAGGACACGGGAACACCAAGTATGGTCCTGGGAAACCTCAGCTCCAGCCTGGGAAACCTCAGCCCTGGTTTCCCTGCTGCCACGAGGGCACGGTGTCAGATAAAGCCTGATTTAGGAGCGGCATGGATTTATCCCCACCGCTTCCAGAACATGGCAGGGATTCACATCCCCGGTGAGAAACACGGAGAAGACCATCAGTGACACTACCAGGAACCACCAGCTGGCACCCCCAGCACCCCCACGGGGTGAGGGGCACCCACGGACAACGGGGTCCCACGGGTGCCTGTGACCCAGAAACAGCAGGATCCATGGATGAGAGAGAGGAGCACAGGTAAGGGAGCCAAGAGATGATGGGAACCACGGGTGAGGGTGCCCGTGGGTGAAGGGATGGGTGGGTGAGTGTGATCCAGGGGGTGAGGCGTGCCATGGGCAAGGGGATGTTTGGGTGGGTGTCACCCAGGGACAAGGGGACCCGTGGGTGACTGTGAACCAGGAATGAGGGGACCCGTGGGCAACTGACCCGTGGGCAGAGGGACCTGTGGGCGAGTGTGACCCACGAGCAAGGGGTGTCATGGGCGAGGGGTCCTGTGGGTTATTGTGTGACCCAGGGATGAGGGGACCCGTGGGCAACTGTGACCCACGGGCAAGGGGACCCGTGGGGGAGAGTGATCCATGAGCAAAGGGGTCCCAAAGACGAGAGGACCCGTGGGCGAGCGTGACCCAGGGGAAAAGGGTCCCACGGGTGAGTAAGACCCGTGGGTGAGTGTGACCCAGGCACGAGGGGACGCGTGGGTGAGTGAGACCCGTGGGCGAGTGTGACCCAGGGACAAGGGGACCCGTGGACATGTAAGACGCAGAGGTGAGGGGTCCCACAGACCAGGGGACCCGTGGGCAAGTGTGAGCCATGGGCGAGGGGTCCCGCGGGCTAGCGCGTCCCTGGAGCGCACCCTGCACCGGAGCGGGTCCGGCGTGGCCGTGGCGGGGCCGTGGGGGTCCGTGGGGGTCCGTGGGGGGGTCTGGCGGGGCAGCCCGGCCCCGCTCGGCCGCAGCTCCCGCGGGCGGGCGGAGGAAATGACTCGCATTCCTGCAGCCGGGGCCGCTCGCTCCGCTCCGGCTCCAACTCACCCCCGAGCGCAACAAGCGGCCGTGCCGGGCCCACCCGCGGGGGCGAGCCGGGCCGAGCGGAGCCGAGCCGGGCTGAGCGGAGCCCAGCCGGGCTGAGCAGAGCCCAGCCGAGCCCAGCCGAGCCGAGCCGAGCCAAGCCAAGCCGAGCCAAACGGAACGGAGCCGCGCCGGGATGAGCCGAGCCGGGAGCGCGGTGCGGGGCGCCGGGCACGCACCTACCTGCGGCTCCGGGGACCGCGCTGCCTTGCCGAGCCCTGTCGAACCCCGCCGTGCCGAGCCGAGCCGAGCCGTGCCGAGCCCAGCCCAGCCCAGCCCAGCCCATGCCACCGCCCCCGCCCCTTCCCGGGCCGCCCCGCACCGCCCCGAGCGGCACCGGCACCGCCTCCCGCCCCGGCGCGGTCCCCGGGACAGCGGGGGAACAAGAAGGGGACGGGGTGGCCCGGGGAGGGCACCCGAAGTGTTGGCCCCGGGGGAGGCGTGGGAAGTCGGGCACCCCTCACCCCGGTCCCGTGTTCCTGAGGGGGATTCACGAACAGGCTCCGGAAAGAGCCTGAGCATCCCCCGGCAGGGAACACGGGAACTGTCCTTGGGAGAATTGAGCAGGGAGGGGGATCCAAGACTCGACAGAGGGTAAACCCACTCGGAGGTGCTTAGGAGAGGAGCTGGGCATCCTCCTGCGGGGACGGGGTCCAAGGGAGGGTCAGGAAAGTGCTCCCAGGGCTGGAGCACCTCTGCTCTGGAGACAGGCTGGGAGAGCTGGGGGGGTTCAGATTGGAGAAGAGAAGGCTCCAGGGAGACCTGAGAGATCCTTCCAGTGCCTAAAGGGGCTCCAGGAGAGCTGGAGAGGGACTTTGGACAAGGGCCTGGAGTGACAGGACAAGGGGAATGGCTTCCCACTGCCAGAGGGGAGGGTTAGGTGGGATATGGGGAAGGAATTGTTGACTGTGAGGGTGGGCAGACCCTGGCACAGGATGCCCAGAGAAGCTGTGGCTACCCCATCCCTGGAAGTGTCCAAGGCCAGGTTGGACAGGGCTTGGAGCAAGTTGGGGTAGTGGGAGGTGTCCCTGCCCATGGAACAGGTTTGGAACTTGATGGTCTTGAAGGTTCCTTCCAATCCCAACCATTCTGGGAGTCTGTGATCTCCCAGGGAAGGGACTCACATGTCCCCTGTGGGGATTCAAACATCCCTGGAGAGTGGAGCCCAAACTCCCCCTGGACCCATCCCTGCATCCCCAGCCCTTGCTGTGCCACTGGCACATAAAGCCAGTTCTCAACCAGGAGTCGGGTTGAGGCAGGAGCAGAATTAGGGCCAAATCCCATTCCCATTAGATCCCCCGCTGCTGCCCTGGCAGCTGGATAAAGGTGGGTTGGGCCCAGCCGCCCCTCAGTGCACGTAACGGAGCTGATGCACACACGGATCCCTCTCCATAGGTGACCCAGGACGGGAATAGCAACAGCAGCAGCACCGTAAATTAGCAGCAAAGCATCTCCGAGCCTGCTCCTTCTTCAGAAGTGCCATCTGGCGAGATTGTTTTTGGAGTAGTTATTTATTCCTCACTTTCAAGTGTCTACAGGCATTTTTCGGGATGACCTGCGAGGCCGGCTCGGCCCCCGCAGTCTCTACGAGGCTCCGGGAGGGAACAGCCGCTTGTTCCCGGGCCTAAATAAAGAGCAGCTCTGCTGTGAACACCCCGACGCTCATTGCCGAAATCTGTTTGCAGCTCAACAGATCGTGCTGGGTAATTACATTATGTGAGTGCACGGTACCAGCAGTGGGAATCCAACGCGCCGCTCTCCTCATGGAAAAAACCAGCCTGGCTTTCGGCAGGGGCTGGAAAACCCTCGGCTTTGGGCCCGCTCTCATGCTCCCATCCATGCCATGTGGAATTGGGAGAGTGTTTCTACCCAACAGCTCCTGCCTGTGTGACATCCAGTCCTTGCAAAGCCACCGAGGCCAAATGCCACCGATGCCGAGGGCACGGGCAGCGTGTCCAAGCAGGGCCCATATTTCCATCCAGAAATGTCCTCCTTCCCCCAGAATTCACTCTGGAAAAACCCATCCTGCTGCTAACACAGGGGGATAACCAGGCAAAGCTGCCATTTGGCTCATTTATCCCAATTTAAAGGTTGGGGAGGCACGAGCGGGACACGGCCCCACCGCTGCGGCGCTGAGGAGGATGAACTGGTCCTGCTGAGCGCATTCCCTGCCCCATCACATCCTCCCCCGGCCTCATGGAATACAGGAATACAGAATCCCAGCGCCTGCCTTGCCGCAGAGGCTAAATAAAGCAGCAGGAAGAGCTCTCGAATGCCAGCGAGGCGATATATAAACACCGACGTGGATGGCGCGTGTGCTAATGCTGCTCTGGAGCCCAGGAGAAATGTCTCGTCTCATACCAACGTGAGAGGCTCCCATGGCCAAAGGAAAATCTCCGGGAAAATCCACGCTCAGCATGAGCCATCCCAGGCTCTGCGACGTGGGGAGGGCTCGGAAAGATGGAGCTTATCCAGTGTCCGGTCTTGTCTCTCCTGTTTGGGAAAGGAAAAGCCCGAAGACTCCGGTGACATTTCTCTAACAGTCCTGGAATTAATCTCCCTCAAGGTCCCAAGAAGCGGAAACGCAGATGGAAAAATGTAATAAATAAAATTCTTTTGGGTTTTGGTTTGCTTTTTTTTTTTTTGGATACGGTTTAACCGAGCTAATGGCATCACTAGGCCTATCTCTTTTAGGGGAAAAAAAAAAAGGGTGTTGTGGCTATGACTGAAAATACCATTCCCATAAAATAGACAGATTTTTCTCTCGCACTGGATGTGTTTATATGAAGAGGACGGGAAACAGCAGCGGCTCACTGTGATCCTGCATTATCACCATCCAAGTATTTCCCATCCCAGCCTTTCAATACCAGCTTTGTTACTGGGCAGGGATGGGCACAGGGATGTGGGAGCTCTCTTATCTCAGAGCTTCCCTCTGAGATTTTGTTAATGGCATAAAAATTATAAACAAAGCAACAGAATAACAACTAAACCCATCCGGGTCTCCGCATCCCACTCAGGTTTCCCAAAGGCTGATGGATCAGCTGTGAATCCCCTGGGGCTGTGCTGTCGGTGCTCAGCACCCACTTTTAGGGATTTTTGGGATGTCCTGCTAGGAAAATTCGCCCTGGAGCAGCAGCGTGGGGGCCTCAGCACTGACCACAAGCCTCGTGGGGTGCATTTGGGGACAGGGGCGTCACCGCTGCTCGATGACACCTGGCACAGCATCAGGGCTCCAGCTCTGGCTGCAGCTGGAATTTAGAAATTCCTCCCCGGACGAGAGAGGAAAACAAATCCCAGCTACTGTGAGAGGGCTGTGCTGGGGCTGGGGCTGGTTTCTCAGCCCATAAGGGGAAGAAATTAAATAAAGAAACCCCGGCACGGAGCCACAACAGCCGGTGTGTTGCTATAAACTCCGGCGAGGAGCTGGACCTCGCTCGGGTTCCTGCATTTCATGGGGATTTCTGAGGGAGCTCTTCCTCCCTCCCCATCCAGGCTGGGGTGGACATGTCCCTGTCACTCCACCATGGAAGCAACCAGGACGGAGGGACCCCCTCCAGCGTTTTCTGGGTCATTTAGGAGAATTCCATCTGATTTTTTACCATAAAGACCCACTTCACAGAGACATAATCAAGCCTGTGCTTTAATCGGGTTTATAATTAAAAGCTTGAGCACATATTAGGACCCCTTCTCAGGGGTTTTGCCCTGATTCTGCCCCACTTTCCTATTTGCTTGGATGTACCCCACGAGGAAGTGATCCCCCCTACAGCCTCAACTTCACCCATCCCAGTTGAGCTGGGAAATTCAGTACCCAGCGTTCAGGAGCCATCCCTGGATGGTGCTGAGCATCCCAGGTGCTGAGCTGACTCCAGGAAAAGGGGGAGCATCCCTGGGAATGGCCAGGGGCACCCCAGCTCAGTATCCAGGTGGTGTCTGGGAGCAGGATGGCCCATTGATCATGCTGGCAGTGCCACATAGCCATGGGAGCTGGAGCAGGAATGCCTGCAGGAATGCTCCCAGAGGGAGTGTTGCCATCGGATTTTAGCTGTGAGGGGGTGTCAGTGTATTTAGTATATTTAACTGCCCCCCCAAATCTCCCTCTCTATTTACCCTGCCAGGTTTTGCCTGGGAAGTCAGCAAGGACGAAAATAAAAAAATTAAAAAAAAAAAAAGGAGTTTCAAGAGATTTAAGTCCAACGAGGCTGGAAAGAGAGAGAAAATCCAGCCTGAATACCCAAGTGTTGGAACCATCACGAAAATCCAAGCGTGCATCCGGCAGGGAAGCATCCCCCGGGCTCCGTGCTCCACCGGCAGTGCTGATACGGTATATTCTGCTAATCTACCCCGCAGTATTTACAGCTGCCTTTAACCCTTCAGCCTCTTTAGCATCGAGTCGCAGCAGCCGGATGCGATTAGAGCCTGTGAGATTCCTCGGGAATGCTGGACGGAAAGGCGGGATCGCCTCCCCGCACCGAATTCCCGGCTCCTCGCCCGACCCATGACACCAAACTGGGTCTATTACCGAATTATCGATAAACCGGGGTGAGATGGGCAGGGATTTTCCATGGGGTAGGTCTGGCTTTGCTGCAGCCCCCCTCAAATCCACGCGGCATCTCTGCATCCCCCGCTTCGAAAAGCCTGTTTCCCTCACTCCCATCCCAGCGCCCTCATCCTTTCCCTTTCCCGGGACCCTAAAGGGCTTTTCAGGGCTCCGGGCCTGGGGTTTATTCCCAGGGTTTGTTCTCAGCCTGCCAGAGCTGCTGAAAAGCCCGTGGAATTGTGGCATAAAGCAGGAAAGGCCGGTGGGGAGGGGCGGACAGGGAGGAAAGATCACAGAAGCTCGGGAATATTTTTAGCCTGTCTGTGTGCCGGCTCTCCGGCTTCAATGGCACTTCAATCCCATCTGACGGAGGGGCAGATTCCTCAGGGCTGCTCCTGAAACAGGAGGGAAACCATAGGAAGGGCTCCCTCAGGGGGGTCGCCAGCAGCCCCAATGCTACAGGACATCAGAGAATCCCCACCGGTGGGGTGGGGTGGGAGGAAAACAGATCTGGGAGTTTCTCTGCTGAAAAAATAAGTGGAATTCATGCAATTTGGGCAGTGAAAGCCAGGGCACCCAGCAGGGACTGGGGTGCAGTGGGTGCTGCAGAGGGGGGCTCATCCCACTCCCAGAATGGTGACCCAGCTCCTTGCTCTGAGCTCACCTGTGTGCACGTGCTTTCCACAGCAGCAGGTTTGGGTTAAGAGCTTGCAGAATCAAGCAAAC